TGGACAAAAGGAGATAATACTTTATACAGTGAGGGATTAAAATGTGAAATTAATTGCCAGAAGATATAGTGATGGCCATAGATATCTTTCAAAGGGGATTAGACAGATTCATGAAGGACAGGTCCATCTGTGGCTACTAGCCATGGTGACTAAAGAGAACCTCCATGGGCAGAGGCAGTCAACTTCTGAATCCCAGTACCAGAAGGCAACATCTGGAGAAGGCTTTGGCCTGTATGCCCCGTTTATTGGACCCCCAGAGGAACTGGGTGGCCACTGTGTGAGACAGGGTGCTGGACTAGATGGACCACTGGTCTGATCCAGCAGGGCTCTTCTTATGTTCTCTACCTGAGACCCTGGAGAGCTGCTGCCAGTCTGAGTAGACAATATTGACCTTGAAGGACCAATGGTCTGATTCAGTATAAGGCAGCTTCATGCTATGTTGTGATTATTCCTGGAGTGGTGGTGCTACATGGCAACCTTCAGAGCAATTGCCAGCCTTTTGGGGAGTCTTTGAGTAACTTTGTGTAGGAAAGACCTTGTCAAGAGGAACAAAGCTAGTGAGGATGGAGGGGGGTGGAGACTGAACTGAGAGGACATTCCAGAATCCCCTGTGATGAAGCACTCTTGCTCGGTCAGGTTAGAGTCAGAGCTTGCTGTCTGTAGCCTGCTAGATTTCTCACCAAGAAAGAGTGAAAATGGTGGTGCTGGTTCTCATTTAATAGGCATGTGTCTGAACCTCAGCATCGGCTCACCCTGCTTATCTGTGGTAGTAGCCATGGAGACCTTCCTCACCATATGGACCAATCCGTACGATGAGTTACTTACACTGAGAAAGCAGTGTGCATGGTATGGCAGAAGTTACCCTGCTCGTGTAAAATTAAGTGTTCTTGATTTTAGTAAAGTAAATGGGAGGCAAACTCTATGTTCGGGACTATTAGAAAAAGGATTAAAAATAAAATGGTTATTATTATGATGTCCCTGTATAGATCTGTGGTGTGGCCTCATTTGGAGTACTGTGTGTAATTTTGGTCACCGTATCTCAAAAAGGACACTGCAGAGCTGGGGAAAGTACAGAAGGTGGCAAGCAAGATGGTTTTGGGGGTTGGTGCACCTTCCCTATGTGGAAAGGCTGAAGAGTCTGGAACTTTTCAGTTTAGAAAAGACGACTAAAAGGAGACGTGGTAGAGGTTTATAGACTCGTGCATGGGGTGGAGAGAGCTGACAGAGAGAACATTTTCTCCTTCTCCCTAAGTTCTAGAATTCGAGGCTGTCCAGTGAAGCTAACAGGCAGTCGATTAAAGAGGGACACAGCAAGTAATTCAAATGTGGAATTTGCTTCCAGAGGATGTAGTGATGGCTACATAGAAAGCTTTAAAAGGGAATTAGACGGTTTCATGGAGAATCGGTCTATCATTGGCTACTAGCCATGGTGACTAAAGAGAGTCTCCAGGTTTGTCTGTTTATTTATAATTTAGATTTGTTAATTGCTCAGTCCCTGAGTACTCAGGGCTGTGAGCGATGAACAGCAACAAACAACAACAATCTATATATCACATCATAACAAAACATCTTCCAACAATTTAAAATTAATTAAAATTAAGGTTCAAAGGCAGTAAACCTCTGAATCCCAGAGCCAGGAGGCAACCTCAGGGGAAGGCCTCGGCCTCTACACCCTGTTGTTGGCCCTCCAGAGGAACTGGTTGGCCACTGTGTGAGACAGGATGCTGGACTAGATGGACCACTGGTCTGATCCAGCAGGGCTCTTCTTATGAGTTTATTTCTGGGTAAATGTGCTTGGGATTGCCACCTACAAGTCTAAGAAGACCTAATCCCTCCTCCTGAATTGTTACTACTGGCCAGGTCAACAGGATGGGTTGATATATGCACATGCATACATATGCACACAGACGGGGCTTTTTTGTGGTGGTACTCTCCCGTATGGTGTGTGGGGGGTTCTCCCCAAGTCCTGGGAGGGGGGAATGGATGCAACCTTATATATGAGCATCAGTACTTTTAAAAAACAAAACAAGCACTGTTTGTGTTTGTGTGTGTATAAATTTTAAATCACCAAGACAGAACAGAACCAACATTTCCTGTTGTATACATCTCCTGAACTGTATGCAAAGATATTAAACAAGATATATCTCTTGAAATTTCTGGTATTCAGAACTTCCATAAGCAAGGGATGGGAGCTGGTTATATCTTTTCAGCTGTTCATACTGTTTGGTTAGTAAGGTCACAAGTAGTCCTAATTTGACATGTAGGCATAACATAGAAGTACAAGATCACTCGTGGGTATCATGGGTCATTAGGGTGATTATCCAGGATGGTTTCTCCTGGATTCCTAGCACCTGTAATGACCTGGTAATCCTGTGTCTAGTAGAAAGTCCACAATAGTAATCCATCGCTTCCAGTGCAATCCTAACCAGAGTTTACACCTTTCTAAAGCCCAATGGGTTAGGAAGGTTATTGATCTGCTTAGGTCTGCACTGTTTGTCATTGAGATTTTAATGTTTATATTAATTTCTGATTTCTTATAAAACCAGGTTATTAATAAGAGAGGCTTGCTAGAATTGACATTTTACTTAATTTTGCTGGGGGGTTTTTTGGTAACTATTTTAATCCATCCTTCGGGGCATCCTGCCTGATTTTTCCAAAATGTCTGCCAGTGGAACTGATCCACGAGGAAGTGTATTTTGGAAATGCGAATAGGAAGTTACAAAACTAAATTGAGTGAGTCTGTCATTGACAGATCATGAAAAGCTGTTACGGAACTAAGTTGGGTGAGTCTGTCATTGACAGATTATGAAAAGCGCTCAAAGGTGCACTTGCTTGCGGAAAAGCAAGTCAGCTCTGTTTCAGTTGGATCTTAAACACAAATTGTTTCCTGTCTAGACTTTCTGCTACGTGGATCCATGCTACTGTGGTTTGTAGCTTGGATTCCGGAATACATTCTGAATGGGGGGCTGCCTTTTAAAAATGGCTTGGAAGCTTCACTTAACACAAAATTCGAGAGTCTGTTTGGGACCGCCAGCCATTTCAAACACCTGCACTGAAAGGTTTTCGTCAGTTGCTTTTTACCCTTAAGGCCCTTCACAACCTGTGTGTATAAAGTGCTGTGAAATCACAGCTGACTTATGGGACCCCATATGGTTTTCAAGGCAACCTTGGACTCATATATTTGATGAACTGCCTCTCTCTGGATGAAGTTATGTACCGATTTTGCACCTCTGGCCACATTCTTCTAACAGTGCTTCTCTTCCATCTGCTCTAGGCCTGTTTTGGCTGTTGTACGATTCTAGAGTTGTCAGGTCCCCCCTGGCCGCCAGTGGGGCATTGGGAGGGGGGGTACAGCTGCCAGATCCAGGTTGGGAAACTCCTGGAGGTTTGGGAATGGACCCTGGGGCAGACAGGAACCTCAGGGGGGTACAGTGCCATAGAGTCCAGCCTCCAAAGCATCCATTTTCTTCAGGGGAACCGATACCTGTAGTCTGGAGATGAGCTGTAGTTCTGGAGGATCCCGAAGTCCCACCTTGGAGACTGGTATCCCTAACTGATTCTGTGGAATAGCTTTGTAGAGGGGGCTGAAATGGTGTCCTCACTCACTGTGCTAGGAGAGCTTGAAAATTTGTTTCATTTCAGACGGCCATTATGTGAGTCAGCCAATAATGCGGCTCCGCTGAATTGTTAAGGAGAGCCGAAGTAGATGTATTACGATAGATCTTTGCGAAGTGGCTTGTATTTTAGGGTTGCCATTTATTCTCTGTTTTGTGGTAATCTCTGCCCATTGCCATTGGCTAGCCACCTTGAATGCCTGGAGAAATGGAGGGATGAAAATATTTTAGTAAGTAAGTATAGAATCGGCACTTTGACCGCACTTACTGGATGTCTGTTTTATTTCTGCTGCAAATGTCATAGAAGGTCCCATTAAAATCTCTAATCCTGTGGAAAATATCCAAACTCTGCTACCTGAATATATAAACCTAGAAGCTAGTATAATAGCCTAGTTATCTATTTCTGTCCTGCTGTTGGATATTTTTAGATCAGGAGCAAAGGCCAGTTGTTCAGTACTGAATCTTTATCGGGGAGACCTGGATTCAGATGAGGGTTGCCAGCCTCCAGGTAGAGGCTGGAGTTTCCCTGGAATTACATCTTATCACCAGACTACAAAGATACATTCTCTAAGAGGAACTTTGTGGCATCACATCTCCGCTGAGCTCCCACCTCTCTCCAAACTCTGCCCTCCCCAAGTACCACCCCCCCGACCCTCTAGGAATTTCCCAACTTGGAGTTGGCAACCTTAATTCAAAAACCCTGATGAAATCCCTTACTTTACAGCTGCATTATGGCATGCATTTTTCATGCTAAATGTTACCTGGGGCAGAACCATGATTGGCTCTTGTTAGGCTATAATATGTGTTTCTGGCCTGTCGCCTCCCATATGTGAAATGGGAAGCTGAGTTATTGATGTGAAGGTGATTGAGACATGATCGTGAAGAAGAGAAGAGATTGGATTTATACCCCGCCCTTCACTCGGAGTCTCAGAGTGGCTTACAATCTCCTTTCCCTTCCCCTCGCCACAAAAGACACCCGGTGAGGTAGATGGGGCTGAGAGAACTCTTTTGAGGACTGCTCTTGAGAGAATAGCTCTGAGAGAGCTTGTGACTGACCCAAGGTCACCCAGCTGGTTGCATGTAGGGGAGTGGGGAATCAAACCTGGTTCTCCCAGATTATAGAGTCTGTGCTCCTAACCACAACACCATACTGGTGTACTGCATATATAAAGAGTTCAATAAATTATTATTAATAATAACAACAACAACAACAATAATTCAGATAAAGCTGATTTGGTGTACATTTGCTTAATTCAAAATAAATTTTTGTACATATTTTTAGGTGCGTTTTCAGACTTTGACAGCCAAGAGCTGCAGGCTTGTTTGTTGATAGATTTTGTTTGTTTGTTTGTTTAAAAACTCTTTCTTTGAAAAATGTGTTTTTAGGGCAAGATGGTGAAAGGAATGGGTGGCGCCATGGACTTGGTGTCCAGTGCAAGGACCAAGGTGGTGGTCACTATGGAGCACTCAGCGAAGGTAAAATTTCATCTCTCCATCCTGATTTCTTGAGACTGAAAATATTGCTGCCGCTGAAGCTTGTCTCTGTTTGCTTCCTTTGGCTTTTTCCTTCTCCACATGTCTCTGCCTTTTGCCACGCTCTGTGGAACAAGCAGTCTCCTTCTCTCTTTGTTGAGCCTCCTCCAAATCTCTTGTCTTCAACAAAGCTCTTCCTGAACCTTCCCCGTGCCTTCTGCTTGCTTACCATCCTGCAGTTTGTTGCCTTGTTATCATCATTTTCTTGTTCATTTATTGTATGCTGAAAAATCCTCAGAGAAAGGTGGGGTCACTTCTGTATTCTGTAGAGAGCTCCCAGCACACTTTGAGCACTCCATAAAAGTTCTAACGTTAGTTGCAGAGCCTACAGAAAAAGTGTGCTCTAGTGTCAGCACTTAAGAATTGACAGTATTGTTATCAATAAATAAAATTGCACCAGTATTTCCTGCATCCTCTTCTTAGGGCTTCTTTTACATGATCGTGTTCCTTTGAATACAAAAAGCACTGCCAGTTTAGTGTTGCTGGAATATCCCATATACAAATGCATGACCTGAGAAAGCATCAAGTAGGCAATGAAGTAATCAAACAGTGCCGGCACCAGACAAGTATCTGTGCTCTAGAAACTATTAAACAACTGCCAACTCTCTCAGCGCAGACAAATGTCTTTTAACTCTCACCCTTCATCCACGCTGCGTTTCATAACCTTGGAAGTAATAACGCCCTTTGTAGCCAGTTGTCCATTTTAGTGCCCTTTATCTGCTATCAGTGACAAAGTCACCTTGTGTGGCTGGTCTCTCTGGGCTGCCAGCCGCATATGTTTGCTAGGGACATGGAGCGAAATCTTGCTGGCCTGCTTTGGAGGTGTATCTGTATGGCAAGCCGACTCACAGATGGCTTTTCTTGTGGGATGACCATCATCCTGAGGCAGTTATGAGGAGCCTTAGTGTTGTTGACCATATTATGAATTAGTGGCCTTCAGGATGTCAGGAGAAGCCCTGATTTGAGTTCCAGATCTTTCCTAGGTTACATCAGGACCCATGAGTGCGGCTCAGTTCTGTTATACAATTCTTTTGTAGGAGGTGCCTGTATACTTGGGAGTACAGAGACTTCTATATCTGTTATATGGGCTTCTCATTGGCATGTTTTTATTGATTTGGTCTTAAATTATTTTATCATTTTGTATTTTTTAATTAGCCAGTTTGGTTCTATTGATTTTTTTAATTGACTTGGAATTGTTGCCCTTTTTGTTTTGTTTGTTTCAGTAATTGTCCCTCTTTGTGTGCTCTGGTCTGCAGATGTTTACAGTGGCAGCATAGGATACCTCAGTGGCAGAGCTGCTGAGAGGGAGAGGGATTTAGGGGGACAGAATTCCAGGGGCTGCTGGTCAACCTTGGGAGCCCATAGAGTGGGGCAGTCATATGATTTACTTTCATACAATGTTTGAGTTTGGCCTTGTTGGTGTGAGGGAGGGCCTTTGCGTGGAGACTCTGATCAGTGAGAAACGTATCTCGACTGCTGAGATAGGGTATGATCTTTGTCCCTCTGTGCTGGCCCTGCTGAGGTAACCTAAGGGTATGATCTTTGTCCCTCTGTGCTGACCCAGACACAGCCCAGGGATTACTGATATTCCACAGGCCCTCAAAAATATCAGTGGGTACAGATTATACAGGGAAGCAAACATACCAGTGGGGGTAGGCTGCTTTGAGAGCACTGTGGACTAGGAAGACACATTGTACATTTTAGAAACAATAAAAAATAAGATTTTGGCTCTCAGCCCTGATAAGGCGTTCGCAAACATTGGACTGGTGTGGAGGTTAGAGACAAGGGGTAAGAACAAAAACGATTGCCCCTGGCATTGGTGAAGTCCTGGTGTTTGCTGATACTTTGTTTCCCATTTTGATGATTTTTCTGGCTACTGTTAGGTTTTAACCACTGCCGTAATAGTGGATGGCAGTGAGATAAGCTTTAACTGCGACATTCTGTAATAGATCAGTTCCTGGGGTTATGGCAGCTGTCTGAAAAGCCATTTTTCTTTCCCGCAAGCCTGGTGTTTCAATCTCTGCAGGATGCTCAGAGGAGATATTACATGACCTTAAAAGTATACCTGTTAGGTTGATGAACACTTTTCTTAAAAATAGCGCAGATAAATTGTTACTGCACCTGGGAATGAATCGTGGAAGGTCTTTGAATGTAAAAAATACAGCAATATTGTCTTTGGTGTTCCAGCCATTTCCTCTTGAGATCCATCATATTCCTTGAGCAATCCAACTGCCTTGAATTACAGACATAGTTCTTAACTGATATAAATTAAAATGAAACAATTGCTTACAGCACAAAACCACCCCCACACAAGGAATGTTTGAGAAATCATTCCTTAAAAAATTAAAGAATACACACACTGAATGAGAGAATGTACACACTGATCCCCCAGTGATGAACAAGAGTTTAAAAAGAACCGCCTCCACTGTAAAATTACATAACACTCTTCTAAGCTGCTTTCTGAAATGTACAAAAGCAATTAAAAACTTGGAAACGAAATCGCAAGGGCAAGAAGTTGTTACCAAAACTGTTCACGATGTTAACAGATGTCAGATGTAGTTTCTGGTGTTATAAATGGGTGTCAGTGCTGTATATTGGCTCATAGATCTTTGCATCCAGATTCAGGCCACCTTCAGATGTCATGACAAACCGCAGTGGTCTGTAAGCAAACTCTTTTGGCACATGAAGTGACTACAGCAACACATCTGTGTTTGTGCCCAAGCAAAGCTGAACTTCAGTTGGTCGGGACATCTGAATGTAGCCATTACCTTTTCAGCCTTGCCCAACACGATCTCAAAATTGAGGTCAGGCTTAGATCCATATGTAATTTTCCTCTCAGTAAAATTCAATGTATGGAATAAATTCGTCTCACTTCCACCTATGTGGCATTTTCAAATCTGAAAGTCGTTTTGAGGATCTTGCATGTGACTCTGAAAATCAGCTCCCCTAACGTCCGTATAAAACCTTCATGAGCTGAGAAGAAGAAGAAGAAGATAAGAGATTGGATTTATACCCCGCCCTTCACTTGGAGTCTCCGAGCGGCTTACAAACTCCTTTCCCTTCCCCTCCCAACAACAGACACCCTGTGAGGTGGGTGGGGCTGAGAGAACTCTGACACAAATGGCTCTTTTTCAAGGACAGCTGTGCCAGAGCTTGTGACTGACCCAAGGTCACATCAGCAGGTGCAAGTGGAGGAGTGGGGAATCAAACCCGGTTCTCTCAGATTAGAGTCCGCACACTTAACCACTACACCAAACTGGCTCTCAGAAAGGGGGAGGGGGATCAGATTAGATCCCCCTTCCCCTTTCTGTATTAAAGCACTCATACTTGACATACAAAATGTGTGAGATGCCTCCTGATGCAACTGCCAAAATATTTTTATGACTTGACACTCCCAAAGAAGAGCTTTTACTTTGGCAAGAATGAACCGTTCTTCCCTTGGCAGTTTTGAAGGGCAGATATAATAGAGTGTCATATTCCAATAGAACATGCAGTTGCTCGTATGATAAAATCGAAACCATTGAACATATGATTATGGAGTGCCCTATATTCAACGCGTTGAGGGCTAATTTAGTCACCCCTTTACTTCAAGATATGGCATGCTAAGCGTGTGAGCCCCAGGTATCATATTGGGTACAAATGATCATGTCACCCTCTCCGTGGCAAAATTCATAGGTGCAATAATCAAATATAAGAGAAATAATAATGAGTAAGGTCTTTAAAAAAGTTGGTTCTAATTTCTGCTTAAGGTGATAGCCATATGAGCAGTGATAGATAGATAGATGGATGGTTGTGAGAGATGCACTGATGCAGTGTCACATATGAAAACTTCCTTAGTTAGGTCATTGATTAGTGGGGGGGGATTTTCTGGAGTGGTCAAGAGGGCTAAGTCTGAAATGGATAAAAATACAGGATTTGGTCACCCAATGAAGACGTCATCATCATCTCCTCCTCCTCCTCCCTTCTTCAATAAAAGCAGCCCTCAAGGAGAGTAGAGCAGGCTTTGATTAAGTCATCAAAGAAGCTCCTGTTTGTAGTAATATTATTTTGAGCAGAACAGAACAGTAGGGCATAAATGATTTTATGATCAATGTCTTGTATCAATTACTTCTGCCCTGAAGCACTGGGGCTCCCAGTTTTTTTGGAAAACCATTACCAAGTGCGGAAAGGGAGGAGAATTCTAAGTAATAAAACTTCCCCAAAAATCTAATATGTACAAACTAAAGCTTAGCTTCCATAACTATTAATAAACCAGAGATTGCAGTTTTGGGAACTGCCTTTGGTGATCCACTCTTGCAGTGCAGATGGAATCACCAAGCAACTGCTTTTTTTGGAAGGAAGAACAGAAGAGAAGAGATTGGATTTATACCCCGCCCTTCACTACCCAAAGGTGTCTCAGAGCGGCTTACAAACTCCTTTCCCTTCCCCTCCCCACAACAGACACCCTGTGAGGTGGGTGGGGCTGAGAGAGCTCTGATAGTAACTGCTCTTTTTTCAAGAACAGCTCTTATCAGAACTATGGCTTGCCCAAGGTCATCCAGCCAGGTGCAAGTGGAGGAGTGGGGAATCAAACCCGGTTCTCCCAGATTAGAGTCCGCACACTTAACCACTACACCAAACTGGCTCTTGGTATTGCTGTTCCCCATGGAAAAGCATCACTATTATCAGAAAAAACCATTTAATTTATCCCCCTCATTTGGTTACTCCGTACAGTTGACACTAATGCTGGGGTGAGATCAGACCCAGGTGAAAGATAGCAAAAACCAGAGCAGGAATGTCAGGAATTAGGAAGATCAGACAGATGAGACCTGATCTAGTTTCTTCTGAAACATGGCACAGCCATTTTACAGAAGCCTTAACTGTTAAGTAAGGTTTGGGAGATCATTGAGTACTTGTCCATATTATGTGGAAGCCTAGAATAGTTGAGTGGTGAATGCAGAAATAGCTTCATAAGGGTTCAACCACAGCTGAGTGATGGAATTGGCATATATTTGTGGAGACTGGCATTTCTACCATGGGCCTTGGTCAATGTTCCCGCTAAGCCGAGTTAGTGTGAGCTGGCTCACTGTTTTTTAGCCTCTGGCTTCCACATTTTTGTCTTAGTTTAGGAAGGATGGCTCCAGAGCAAACTAATTTATGCAGTAGCAAAATCACTGGCTGACAACTTTAATGCCAGTAGCTCACAAAGTACAGTTTTTGCTCACAAGACCCCATAGCTTAGAGGGAGCATAGGCCTTGGTGTGTTCAAAGGTTAACCTGCTTTCTTGACATTCAGAACATTCAATTGGTACTTGTTTCTGGTTCGGCTCTAGGGTAATGCTCACAAAATTCTGGAAAACTGCACTTTACCAATTACTGGGAAGCAGTGCGTGAATCGCATCATAACAGAAAAGGTAAGCTATTCTATCTTCTGTTTCATTGTTGGTACTGGGGAAGGGAGGCATGTCTTAGCTTCACGATATGTCCGTAAGGTTTGGATCCAGTGTGGCTGGATGTGGATCTTTCCAGTATTCCCCTCCCTCAAGCAGTCCTTCATGACCCACGGAAGGAAGCAAATTAAATTCTCCCTTCTCAGTTTTCCATCAGCAAGAGCTGTATTTGCAAGTGATAGGGGGGAGTACATGTTTCCCCTACTTACTGTCATCCCCTACCCTGTTTGGCTCGTAGTCCACGTGAGCCCCCTACAGTTCCCGGCATAACTCCTTCTGCAGTTGAAAGGGACTGCTATGGGTGGGGGAGTGGAGGGAGAATCCACATGCTTTCCTTTGATGGTTGGCTAAATTCAAGTCGAGGGCCCAAGCGGAGCCGGCGTCAGCACACCCTGGGGTGGGGTGGCTGCTAGCATCCAGGGCTTCTGACTGGAGCCGCCATTGTCTTTCTCTTTCTTTCTTTCTCTCTCTCACACACACTCCCCTCCCTTGCTTGCACTCCCACTCCCAGATGCTTGCATTGCTAGTGCCACTGGAGAAGGGGCTGCAGGCAGTGTAGGCAGCCGTGGACATTGGCAGTGGGAGGGCAGGCAGCTGGGCAGGGGAAGGACATGGCGGCAAGTGGGAGGCAAGTGGATAGGTGGGAAAGGGAAGTGTGCAAGGAGGGCCAGGAGGGGAGGGGGACTCTGGGAACTCTGCCTCCCCCCCAAACCCGGAACCAGCCCTGGGCTCTCAGCTTGCTCACTTCTGCATCTTCAGAGGACTGTGAGCAGGGTGCTCATAGCATGACCCACCTGTGTGGAAGCCCCATTTGTAATATCAGGGTGAGCTGAAGAGAAGCAAGAGATTGGACAGGTGAGATCGCCATAACCCAGTGTCACCTGTTGCCTTTGAGATGTACGCTGAAAGGGGGGGGGGATATCCACCCGTCTCTCTTCCAGGCAACAGCTTTCACTGACTGGAGTATTAATGGGCAATAGTGTGAACACACATTAAACTGCCTTATCCTGAATCAGACCACTGGTCTATCAAGGTCGGTATTGTCTACTCAGACTGGCAGCAGCTCTCCAGGGTCTCCGGCTTTGTCACATCACTTAGCTACCTGATCCTTTTTTTTAAAACTGAGATGCCAGGGATTGAACTTGGAACTTCTGCGTGCCAAGCAGATGCTCTACCAGTGAGCCACACACACATGTGGAGAAAGGAAGAGTCAGGATGCATCAGGAATTGGTATTTACCAATTCAGGCATTGTCCGCAGCCTTCTGCGGTGGCGCCCGCCTGTAATCCCGGCTGCCGGGGAGGCTGAGGCCATCGGATCACGTGAGCTCAGGAGTTCTGGGCTACAGGGGGCTATGCTGATCGGGCGTCTGCACTAAGTTTGGCATCAGCTGGTATGGTTTTCCCTTACTGCTCTTTTAGTTCAAAAGTGTTAACCAGCAATCTAATTCTCGTAGGCTGTTTTTGATGTGGATAAAAAGAAGGGGCTGACTCTGATTGAAATCTGGGACGGTCTGTCCGTGGACGATATCAAGAAAAGCACCGGCTGTGAATTTGTTGTAAGTCATTGTTTGTTTGATTAACTATCACTTGTTTATGTCTCAGGAAGTAGCTTGGTAAAGAAGCAGATGACATTCCCCGTCTGGCAAAGGGAAGCAGGTTTCTACCTGTGATGTGCCTGCACTGAACATCTAAAGGGCTGGTGGAGGGTCTTCTGGGGAAAGTTTCTGGTGAATTTGGAAACAAGGCCTGAAAAGGCATTTGTTTACGAAAACAGGCGTTTCCATGTGACTGGAAGCATTTGATTTCCTTGCTTCCAAACGGCACAAAGAAAGGAAAAGGAACTTCAGCTGTGAGGCTATGTAATTAGCTGCTTAAACTGTTCCTTGTATTACAATTAGGCCCTTCCATTAATGTTTATTTTACAGAATTTTAGTCAGCAAATTCTTTCCTCGATTGAACTTGCTAAGGAAATTGCTTCCAGTTAAAAAGAAACAGTTTGAAATAGTGCATCTCCTGCATACTGTGATAATATTGAGGCTTATTTTCCTCTAAATGTCAAATTTTATTGCGTAGCCAAAGCCATTGCAATGTTACAAACACAATCGGTCAAAAGAATGTATCCACAAAACAATAATGCAAATGGTCTAGACGGCTTCAAATAAAACCAATTTGTCAGCCGTGCCCTTTAGCAAGCCCGAATCTACAAACTCTTTCCTAACTTTTAGCAGCTTGTGCAATGAATTGAGCAACCTGACAACGTAATGTCTGTCCCATAAAATGGCTAATCTTCTAGGAATTTATATAGGCAGTGGAATATAGCGTTGTAGGTCTTCCGTTGGCCCTCCAGTCTTTTAGGAAATGGGGCATTGATGAAGCATTCTGACTCTTGTGGTTAAGAACAGAATGAAGAGAACCCTTGCTTTAAGCAGTTAGCAGGTGGTTGGCTTGCTCCAAAGGAGAGGGAAAATAAACCAGGAAAGGTCCTGGAAATATCATTTTCTGAGGTTCAAGAGGATCTGGCAGAGGTTCAAGAGGAGTACTGGCAGGCAAGTAGGCTTGTGTTGCGGGGTGGCAACTTCCGCAGCCAGCTGTCCCCCAGCCCAACTGCTACCCCGCCCCCAAGTGTCCACCTCCTCGTCCCCCAAGGCCTCTTGAAAAGCATGCAGACCACTCCCTGAACTCTTGCCTGTTGCCAGGGCAACCAAAATGGTGGCTGAACGTTGGTATTCATTGTGTCTTGAATTTGGGTTAGGGTTGGGGGTTTTTTTCTTTTCATATCCTGCCCTTCCTCCAGTGAGCTTCAGGGCAGTGTATGTGGTTTGTGAGGTAGATAAGTCTGAGAGAGAATTACAGACCCAAGGGATCAATAACTGTCGACCGCAAATTCTAAGGACTACCAGTTGTCCCACACAGCCAGCAACCCATAGGCAAGAGAGATGAATGGATTTTGTGGTATCTGTGATGAGGCATCTTGCCAACAGAGGATGGACACAGGGGTGCCTTGGTCATCCATTGGAGCTATAGGTAGTTAAATACATAGAGGAAAAATGGCATTCATGGTGATTCTGTTTTAGCATGCCACAAGCAAGGGTTTTCAGCTGATGTTAGCTAGAGAAACTGGGGAAAGCATTTCTTTTAAAAACTGGGTATTAGCTGTTTCTTTAATACATGACAAAGCCTAATCTTCATTGAAGAGGAAGAGCAGAGCTTCGATTTATACCCTGCCTTTCACTACCTGAACGAGTCTCAGAGTGGCTCGCAGTCTCCTTTCCCTCCCCCTCCCCACAACAGACACCCTGTGAGGTAGGTGGGGCTGAGAGCTCTTTCAAGAGCTGCTCTTGAGAGAACATCTCTGAGAGAACTTGTAACTAACCCAAGGTCACACCAGCAGCTGCATGTGGAGGAGTGGGGAATCAAATCCAGTTCTCCCAGATTAGAGTCCATGCGCCTAACCACTACACCAAACTGGCTTCTAACCATTACACCAAACCGCTTGGCTTCTAATTTGTGGTGTCAAACTGGATTAATTTGGATAACTAGTGAAAATAATGGTGTCAACAGGCTAACACACACACACACCCTGGATCCATTGGCAGTGTTATTTAAAACAGCATTACTACTAGCTATACTAGCTATCGTTTTTACTACAGTATGTGCCATATCCTTTCTCTTCCCCCTTCCAGGTATCGCCAAATCTCCAACCGATGAAGCAGATTTCAACTTGAGGAACAGATGACGGGGCTTAACTTCCATGCTTCCAGCAAAGGGGAATCAAATGTCTGTTTTTGCAATGATGCATTTTTTAAAAAAAGAGGTCCTTGTAAGTAGTTTCTGGTAGTTAGCATCAGGCTGACTGTGTCAGTATAACTATGTAAATGTTCGTTTGCACATGACATTACAGTACAGTTTCCAGAAAATAAAACCCATTTGGTACCTAGCTTATTTATAATCATCATCACCCGGTTAAGAAGCGTTAGCAAGAGATGATGCCTTGTAGGCGTGACCTTAATACCACAACCTTGGGCAAAGGCAGGAGGTCACTTTTTCACGCACAGATCATTCAAAACTGCAAGTGCCTGTATATCGGCTGCAATTGCGCACACAAAAAGGGGGAAAAGAAAGAGTCACAGGGCAATGTGGTGGTGGCCCAAAATACATGTGCAATTAGGTATTTGTCTAAACGGGACCCTTATTTACAGAAGGTCACAGATGAAAAGCTATCCACATAGGAGGTTGTTTGTATTCTGTGATCACAAGATACAAGAGCAGAACCTGATGATGTCAAACACAAAGCAAAGCAAATTTCTAGTCCTTATGTCTGGAAAGATATGCTTTCTTAGGAATGCCGGGTGAAATCCGAGAAACCAGGAACAGGAATTTTGATTTTCGAGAGGAGGGGCCTTTAGTGCACTGCAGTAGCTCCTTGAACCCCTCCCTCCTCCAGAAATGGCTAACGAAAGCAGACCAAAATCTAAAAAGTAGTGATGCAAATATAGATCACAGAATCCAGCTTTCCTTGTGCAGAATTTGGATTACCTTGGTGCAGGATTCTGGTTTGTATAGAATATATACAGCTATGACTGTATACAGAACAATGAATTGAATTAGATTTTGGTTCTGTTGAAATGGAAGCTGCTGTAATGGTCTTGTGATTTTCTTTTTACTGACCTTTTAATAAATACATGCAGAATTGTGTAGTTCATTTTAAAGTCTGGACTCTGCCTTTCCATTTCGAGCACTGTGGATCATTTATACAAATGTCCAGAGAAGTTGGTAAAGTGGAGTCCTGCTGTTCCAGTTGCTGTGTCGTGTACAGGCTGTGAAGCTTTTAATATGCACAATCCAGAACTGGGCCCCTTCTTTGCTACTTGCAAGTCGGTACAGACCTTTCTCTGGGCTTCAGAAATCCCCTCCAGATGATTTCAAAAAGTTTTACACCAGCCTTCCCGCACTCCACAGTTTCTTTAAGTGAGCAGTTGAAGTCAAGATGTGGAGCACTTAAGTAAGAAAGGTTTAGAACAAATGGAATGTGCGCAGGATAACTTGGGTGCAGCGGGATGATTTATTTTGGGAAACAACTAAATTGGTGTGTTTGGCTGCAGGAGAGCCTTAAATTACGTGACAAGACACAAATCTCATTGGTCAGTAAGGAGTCATAGAGTGTCTACAATACTGTGAGGTAGATTAGGCTAAGACTAATTTAAGCATCTTGGACAAATGTCAGCGGGACTCCCTGAGCTGCTCTGTCTGCGAGGGCCATACTTTTGTTGAATGCAATCATCAAGTTTGTTTAGGGGAGCTCTATCGACCCACCCCTGGTCCCATCTTTTGCCAAAATACGGCTCTGTGGTAGTGATGGGAAAGCAAGAAAATGCAAGGGAAGAATCGTTTGCGCATTAACTTCTGCTCTTCACTTGTATGATCCAATATGTTCCTTCAGGCGTACTGATTTCTGCAGCTCTTAACGTGAGGTTGAACTTCAGTACTTTGATAGAGTCTGTTCCTTTCCCCCATCTCTGGCTAACTGTTACCTGAGCCTGTCAGCATCAGGGCAGTAGCAGAGGCTTGCAACATGACCCAACTGGGTTTCCAGTCTATTAGTTCAGGGAAGATGCCTGATTTACCCTACTGCTGCTCAGGAACTTTGTATCTAAAGAGGAGTAGTGGCATTCTTTCACTCATGTTGAATTGGGTGCAAGCACATTGTGATATGGCAGTTCATGATATGCCATCATTTGTGTGATTGTCAGCACTACAAATGAACCCACTGAATTTTCAATTGCACTTAGGGAAACATTCCCCACCACCACCACCTTTTCCCCACAAAAGTGCTAACAGAGTCTGGTTTCTTCTCGCAGTGTCCAAATTCAATAGGAGCAGTCCTTAAAGGGCTTTGGAAAGTTAAGAAATACCGGTTCTCTTCTCTCTTTCATTGTCTGTGAAGAACTGGATGCTGGCAACAAGGTCTAGTGGGTTATTGATGACGCTGTTACCTTGGGTGGCGAGGCATTTCACAGCAGGAGGAGGCAGAAAGCACTTAGTAACTGTCAGGCTACGCATAATATTAAAAAAAATATAAAACTAAATAATGACGGCAGTAAAACTGAACCATTCCTCTCGGATTTCAAAAACCTGTGCATTTCCTCCTCCACTCCACACGTTTTCCTTCATATTTTGTGTACCGTTATACTTGGCTTTGTCCTTTTGTAAGACAAAAGTGAACCTTTGGCCTATCTTAACAAATGTACTGTCAGCTGTGCATCCGCGTCCTTTTATATGTACTTGCGAGCAGTCAATAAAACAAATCGCACAAAACTGACGCATTAGAGTTGTTTTAAGGAAGTCTTGCTGCAGGCAGACTTGCTTGAAAAGGGCATGTCCCAGTGATTTATTGCAACATCTAAACATCCTGTTCCTCAGATAAATAAGTCACTCAAACAGGTGTGGAGCACTGGGGGGGGGGGAGACAGTGGTTGGATCCAAAAGGTGCTCTTCTGGTGGAAGCGGATGTCCCCCCCCCCTTCAACCCAGCAGCCTCCTGTGACTTGCAGGCATAACCAGGGGTACTGACAAAAAGCTCTATGGGTCTGGGGCTGTCGTGAGGGAGAGGGATTTGGCAGGATCACCCCTTCTCCGTCTTCTGTCAATACAGTGTCTGTGGGATCTATAGCAGGGGTGGCCAAACTTGCTTAAGGTAACAGCCATACAGAATTAACATCAGATGTTTGAGAGCCGCAAGACATGAGCCAATATTACACATGTGTTTTTATTGAAAAATATGCAAATTTGCTTTTTATTGACATTAAATTAGACTTTGTGAAAGAGCCACAGGTGGCTCCTGAGCTTTAGTTTGGCCACCCCTGATCTATAGGATCCAGTTTCCAAAGACTGTGACTGCTGGCTTGCAATTGAAGACAGGGCAACTTAATCATTTTGCTTCACGAAGAGAAGGGTTCTCTTGCTAGACTCTGGCTCTGTTGTTAACACTTCTTACACAGGAAGGCCACCTGTTGTGTGTTGGGTTTCTTTGGGGGGTGGGGGAGTAGTATCAGCGGTGCAGATTCTCACAGACCAAGCCAGAAGTGCAGCATTAAGAAGTCACTCCACTTGCAATCAGTGTGTCCCTCTAAGCTGAGTTAGTGTGAGCTAGCTCACCGTTTTTTAGCCTCCGGCTCACACATTTTTGACTCAGCTCAGGAAGGGATGGCTGCAGAGCAAACTAATGTAGGCAGTAGCCAAATTGCTCGCTCACAACTTTAATGCCAGTAGCTCGCAAAGTAGAATTTTTGCTCACAAGACTCCACAGCTTAGAGGGAGCATTGCTTGCAATGTCATCCGAATCACCCAGTACTTTTTCTGAAACGTAGGGGGTGAGGCTGGTGAGAACGCTTCCTCAGTTTGTGCACGTTTGTCTTTGCCAAGTGTGTTCCAAGCCAGGTAATCTGCATCCCATGAGAGAGAGGCCGGGAACTTCTGACTTCTTTCATCATTTGTTATCTATAAAAACTTAATCCGTTCTAGTCCCTTACATAGAGTCACACCTGGAATATTTATAACAAGGGTCCCCGTTAAGCCTCTCTGCACCCCATCTCTTCTTCCCCTTCCCTGTAATTTTCCGTATGAATGGGGGCAAAATGATTTCCTTCTACTATGCAACTGAGGAACTGAACTCTGACTCATGAATGTTCACATTGGAACAAATGTTAGTCTTTAAGGTGCCACTGGACTTCTGTTTTACCAAGCAGGTGAGTCATTTTACCTACCATATTTGCCTGGAAAGGGAATAACCCTGAATGTAAAACTGTTCCCCTTAAATTTATTTATCGTATGGCAGAGTTACACACATGAAACATATAATAATAAAAAATACATAACTGAATTGATACAATGGGTATGCAGACCAATTGGTCAATTCCCCCTAAACACTAATCTAAATTTTCAATCCACTCAATCGCAGCTGGGAAGAGTTCAAAGAGCTTGGTCACATCTCCCTGGAAAGCACAATGCTCACATTCCTGTGACAGATGGAAAATAGTTTGGTGGGCTGCACCACAATCACATTTGGCTATTTGGCCCCATTTAAACAACAGCTGCCAAAGCCTGTTTGTATTCTGTTATAGCAGACACACCCCAAGTTGTACCACATCATTTTTGGAAAATGTTTCATGTGCATATTTTTGCTGCTACATTGGTAAGACTGTGTTCATAGCTCAAGGTCCTGTCCAGGGTAATGCCAAGGTACTTAGGGGTATGGTTGTGTGTAAGTCGGGTGCCATTAAGGTACACATTCATGTCACAGTTGGCAAGATTGTTATTGAGATGGAAACAGGAGCATTCTGTTTTTTCCTGGACTTGGGATAAGCTGCCATTTATGGTAATAACCAAAATGTTAAGCTCCCTAGTCAGTATTTCCTCAGTCCTTACAATTGATTTGTGCCTTACTGCAATCGCTGTGTCATCAGCATAAGCAAACTTCCTGGATATTGTCTCAGTAACATCAGAGATTTATAGACTGAAAAGAACTGGAGCGAGGAGCGAGCCGTGAGGTAGACTGTCACTGATTCTGTTCGGGATTAGCCTCTCGAGTTTATAGCAGGAGTAGAGATGTAAAATTTCCGTAAATTTTGAAGCTCAGGGGAAAAAATGGTTTTTTTCCGTTTTTTTTCCGGGGAAAAACGTAAATTTTCGGGGAAATTGAAAAAAATGCTACATTAGCATTTTTTTTGTCTTTTCTAGATTGAAAGTCATTCTGTTACTTTAGGAACATAAAATATGACTATGGACATTTTTAACTTGGCATGAAATTATCACAACTAGCATATTAAAAATATAGTGCATCCAAACAATTATTACAAACAGAATACCCACCCACATGCAAAAACAAAATTGAAACTTTTTTATTTTCTTCTGACAATCGCACCTCCTAAAGGAAGAAATGCATCTTGTTCTTGCATTGGAGAGTTCAGTTTGTAACCTAGAACTTGCTTGTCCTCAGTGCACAGAAATTAGATCAATCTGATACCACATATATATATATATATTAGAAATGATTTGGGAAACATTTGAAGACCTTGTCTTAAAATATTTTATTCATCATGTTAAAATAAAACGTTCCATAATCATTTTTTTTCTTTTTT